GGCGAGTGACTGTCGCCCAGTGATCTAAACGCCTTCTGGAAAAGCTTCCCAAGTCCGTCGGTACGCAAAGGCGCTTAGTGACACAAGTGACGTTACGCATTTCAGATGTTTGCCGCGCATGCGTACCTGCGTACCAGTTATGTGCACCCCTGTGTATATATATTCTTTTTTTATATATATATATATATATATATATATATATGGGTATGTGGCTTGTAAACAGATGTATAAATACACAGTTTATTATTGACTTAGAGTTTATATGAGGGATTTTGGGGGTCTTAAGTAGTGCTTTGGGTAGTAGAGTTCCTGCATTGATGGCAGGTCCTCCCTACTGACCTGTATATTGTGTGTGTGCCACTTGCTAAGGCTTGCTGACCAAAGGTTATGAGAGGTTACACTTGTTTAGTTACACTTTTAAATGTTCTTTTGTGAGTGAAGTTTAATGAGGACGTATTGTGTGTTTCCATAGCTACGCCTTATAGACTGGGGACTGGCAGAGTTCTACCACCCGTCTCAGGAGTATAACGTCCGAGTGGCCTCGCGGTACTTTAAAGGCCCCGAACTGCTGGTGGACTACCAGGTAACACACACACCTCCAACAAGCCCACTTACAACTCACATTTACAGATATTCAAGATAAAAACACACAACATGTTCATTTAAAACGCTGACAATCACAAGTATGTAGGGCTGTACCAAATATGATAATTTTCTTTCTTCTTTTTTTTTTTATGTCATTAAAAAGTTCACTGTAGATACCTAAGGTATTTACAAAACAATATGTATATACAACAACCATAAGTAATACTTACACATAATAAAGAAATAAAAGAGACAAGAAGAGGGAAAAAAAGGATATTTATTTTTAAACATTTGAAGTTTCTATCAAAGTCTTCAAATAAAGCTTCTAACGTCTTATTTTTCATATAATAAAAAAAGCGCGAAATACTATTAAATATAACTTATTAAATTGTAAGTTCTTAATCAACTTTTGGAATGAATGTAACTCGTCATTCTGTTCCTCCCTTTGTGTGCAACAAGCATGAGAGCTAACCGTTTCTTTGGACTTAAAGGTATTTGAATTCTAAAAAAAGGTTGACTGTTGATAATATTAGTAATTTTATCTAACAGTGCATACATGCCAGGTTTAAAAAGAATAAAAAGACTGGAAAAAAAGAAGCTACTATGACTTGAATGTTGATTTAGAAATGTAGATGTAGCTTACAAATCGTTGGCACAGTCCTACATAAATTGGATAAAATGTTGTCAGCACACAAGGATAATTCTGATGTCTGTGTTCTCATCATCGGCAGTGCTGTTTGATGATTTTGTGTTTCAGATGTACGACTACAGTCTAGACATGTGGAGCTTGGGCTGTATGCTGGCCAGTATGATTTTTCAGAAAGAGCCCTTCTTCCACGGACAGGACAACTACGACCAGGTCAGTCTGACACACCCGTGACACCAGCAGCTTGACAGGAAGCAGTTTATTACTGATTTTCTGAACACACACTGAATTAAATCAAGAAGAAATCTGTCTTTCTTCTCAGCACACTTGGGGTGTCCTGTGTCTCTGTTATACATGTAATGGAGATGAACTGTGTTTGTACCTGGGTCTGTTATCTGATGTTCTCTGTGGTTCCTCACTCTCAAGTGTCAGTTGTAGTAACAGTAAGAGGCTGCTGTCGTTCAGCACACACACACATAATATAACAAACTATGTTTTTATATTTCAAAGTGTTCAACAGAATACGTGTGTTGTGTTTTTTTTTAGTTGGTGCGGATTGCCAAGGTGCTTGGGACAGACGAGCTGTTCGGCTACCTGCGTAAATACCACATTGAGCTGGACCCGCGCTTCAAAGACCTGCTTGGACAGTAAGTCCACTCACACTCTACTTATTGTGACATATAGTTGTTTTATGTAACGTAGAAGTCTAATTTGAATACAGGGCTTAAAATACCCAAAGGGGCTGCATAGAAACAGTTTGAAAATCTGCCCTGCTGAAGTCATAAGGAACATACTCAAAGGGAAATGTTCATATTTTTACCTTTCAGTTCTGCATATGTCCTCACACTCAAGCCCTTCTGCTGTCTTGAGAGGGAATAACAACTGTGTTTATTGGTCTATATTCATAATTTTCATTTAATTAAAAGTGACATGAATGAGAGATTGATTCATTTATATTTCTATAACAGAACTGTCATTACATCCCGTCAATGTAATTCCATCCAAAAAATATAAGTTTGAGCCTTCGCTTGCCTTCAATAGCTACCATGATCATTGCAAAGTTTGTACAACACTCTCCCTTATAAATGTGCTTTATTTAAAAACTATGGAATTGCGTATATATTAGCGCTTATATTTGTGAAATTGATTGTTTTTGATTTGAGTGTTGTTTGTATAGAAAGGGGCAAACTTTGTGCCAAATTTGCAAATAGGGCAGAAGCAGCGAGACCCTCTTTGCTTTGCAGCTCAGTTAGGGGTGCATTTTACCATGCGTACTTTGAGAACTATGCTGATTCTTTTTGTGTTCTTTGTTCCTGCAGGCAAAGCAGGAAGCGCTGGGAACAGTTTGTGCAGACAGAGAACCAACACCTGGTGAGTCCTGAAGCTCTGGACCTGCTGGACAAGCTGCTACGCTATGACCACCAACAAAGACTGACTGCAACAGAGGCCATGAAGCACCCCTACTTCTGTAAGAAACATACGCATACTACATACATGTTTTGCTATAAATGTGAGGACCTGTGAGACTGACCGTTGAGCGGCCCGACCAAGCAAGGAGGCAGATGCAGAACGTCCAAAAATATAACCCGGGGTGGGCATTTATTAACACTAGAACCGCCAACGGGTAAATTTTACCCGCAGCTGTTTTTTTATTTTATGTAATTTTTGTTCAATAACATATTAAAGTCTCCCAGTCCGTGACTTTTCCTGAAAGTGTGTTATGTAGCACCCTCTGTTGTTAAAAATTGTCAATATGAAGTCAGATTGAAAAAATCGCCAAAAAAAATGCCATTTATACCTATATCCGCCAGCGGGTAATATTTACCTCATAGAAAATGCAGCATAAACATGAGGTGTTGCTATAGCAACGCCTTTTGTCTACTGCGGTTCCTTATAGATAGAAAGATAGATTGAGAGAGAGAGAGAGAGATAGATAGATAGATGGATGGATGGAGAGAGAGATATAGACAGATATATAGTTATAGATAGTGTAACATCTTGGAGAATACAAGATCTTGGATGAATGAGCTCACGTTGAGGACGTAATGCATGTGTGCAGGTTACGTGCCAGTTGAATAAAGATGAACACTCGGAATGAGAGTAGTCCGCATCGTCTATTTATGTAGACAATTGTATGTTCATAGA